TAACATATAGCTCCCATACAACTGATTGTTCAGATATGAGATTTTTCGTTATAACTTCTCCATTTATGCAGCTACGAGCATGAAATTTTGCAGCACTTGCACCCATTATCAACAGAATGCTTACAGTGAAAATTACAAAGATCGGTTCACTATAACCTATAGCTCCCATACAACTGATTGTTCAGATATAAAATTTTTCGTTATAACTCCTCCATTTATGCAGCTAGGAACATGAAATTCCGCACTGTTTTCAATAATTATCAACAGAAAACTTACAGTGAAAATTAAAAAGATCGGGTAACTATAACCTATAGCTCCCATACAACTGATTGTTCAGATATGAGATTTTTCGTTATAATTCATCCATTTATGTAGCTAGGACCATGAACTTTCGCGCTGTTTTCACTCATTATCAACAGAAGACTTACAGTGAAAATAACAAAGATCGGGTCACTATAACCTGCAGACCCCATAAAACTGATTGTTCAGATATGAGGTTTTTATCATAACTCCTCCATTTATGCAGCTAGGAACATGAAATTTCGCACCACTTTCACTCATTATTTACAGAATACTCACAGTGAATATAGCAAGGATCGGATGACTACAACATATATCTCCTATAGCACTGATTGTTCAGATACCAGTTTTTGCCATATATCTCCTTTATGTAGGAAACTAAACCCAATAAATTGTGTTACCGGTTTACATACCGATCACATAGCAGTGAAAATCACTTAGATTGGTGCCATATAAAGTATATCTTCCATACCTCTGATTGTTTAGATGCGATTTTTTATATAAGTATGTAACTCCTCTATCGATGTATGCAGATGTATTCAAAAGCAGTAATCTGTCGAAGTAAAATTTGCAGATGTTCATGAAAGGTATGAAGCCTTCGGCATAGCCGAAGACAGCGCTGCTCTTACTTGTTTTATACCACATTGCAGTGAATTTTTTTTTTTATAAATTTTGAATTTATCATAAATCCTTGAAATTTCATAGTCCTTTAAAAAAAAAATCCCGATGTCCGCGAGAGAAACCAAAAACGCAGTCTTACTGAATATGGCCACGAGCTTCGTGAGTACATTAATTTTTGCGTGCTTGAAATTGACTGCCGCACGCTGTTATGTATGTAGGTATGTATGTATATGGTGTCTACATTTTTACTACCGGCCAGGAGATGTCATTTTTAAAGGAAGGTGGTCCTGGATTTTCGGTGAAAATGCTACAAATGTAGACTACCGAGCGCATGAAGGTTAATTAAGAAATCTAATTTATTTTTGATTTGATTCGTCGATCAAACAACAAATTAAATTTATTTGTGATTTGAAACGTCAACCAAAGAAAAAATAATTGTTATTCTCATAATTGTAAAGACCAAGGAATTGTAAAGGAAAGGAAGTAACGCGTTGATCCCAAGAGGACCGCATTTTGCAGTTCACTTTTTCTATTAATATTACGAGTTATCTAGTTCTTTTCAATTGCTCCCTTTTTAGTATCGATTTTATTATATTTTGTTTTGATTCGACATCTGGTTACTAAAAGTTTTAGATTCAAATTTAGTAACGGCTACGATATGTTTGCAATTCACACAATAATTGAATTCGAATCACATTTGCTCACCAAATTGTATTTTTGATGAGAGTGTGTGAAAGTATTTAATTTAAATTGAACACAATCCACATCGTCATGGATCTTATTTCGGTCATTTTATTTTTTCTGCTAGCTTTCGAATAAATAATTTGCATCCATTCCATTATTTTTCTGCACTCCTGATAGAAGCAACTGGAGAAAACTGTACTAAAGGTCTACTGCTATTTTTACCGGTGTCTCAAAGCTCAACAAATAGCTTGGCTTAGCGATTCACTCAGACTCTTCCTCGCTGAATCTGAGCTTCTGATTCTTACTATAGTAGGTTCCAACAAGTTTGTATATCCGGATACAGGTGACCCTAACACCAGACCAAAATTAACAGATGCATCTTTAAATGCCAAATACAGATGAAACCTTTTCAAGTGTATACAAGAGTGTTCGTTGAGACTACATAAATATATTTCATCGCTTTATTATAATCTAAATCGCATGTGGATTGGAGCCGATTTGTTAGTTAAGTGAAAAATTTGCTAAAATTTTTGAAAAATGAGAACACATGCGCCACTCACATGATCAAATTCTAACCTCCAAACACAGCGCAAAACAAAAGGAGAACCAAAAAATTAAGAGGAAACACTTTGGCCGATCCTAGGAAAGAAGACTAATTTAAAATAAAGAAATATTACTTTGTTACTTTTTATCACTTTTGTACTTATACTGCTTAACTTTAAATTTTTTGTAATTTTTTAAGTAATTCTTCTATCAACCTATAAATATGGCTTTATGTGATTCTCATAAATATTAAATCGCTTTTAAATCTCCTCTAAATTCAGCTGTTACGAGTACTACATTGAAAGTTTTTGATTACAAACCTTTAACGGAGTCACCATCCCGCGATTCATGCTGCGATTTCACATCACCGGTATGGAAGTCATTTACACCATATTTAAAAGCATATTTAGGTGGAGCCTACAATCAAAATAAGTTTTATAGTCAGTAGTTGTAACAGCGGGCTCATTATATAGATAATAAAAAGTAATAAAAATAAATATAAGTAAGTAAGTAGGGCTATTTTTACTTACATAATAATCGACGTGCTCTTCTTCGTGCTCATAGCCATGGTGTTCTTCACCCAAAGAGACGCGTTCGATTTGATGGTGTTCACCGAGATCATGACTGCTAAGATCTTCATAGCCGCCTTGCTCTTCATAACCGCCTTGCTCTTCATAGTAGTGACCTATTGGTGAAGCCATTGCCAGGCATATAGCGGAAGCAAAAATTAAATACTGAAAATGGATAGAATAAACTTAGGTGATTTGTTACAGATCGGTGTCATTCGGTAGTAAAAATGCTTCCAAAAAGGAAATGTATGCAAAAGAGGTCTGCATCGTCTTTAAAAATGAAAACGCCTGACAAAATAACAAACTACCAGTCAACAGCCCTTAAAGTTGTGTGCAAATACCTAATAAGACCCTCTGACATGAATTTGGCCCGCCTGCAGCCCCTTGAAAGCACCTAATCATTTCTGAGGAAAATATTCACCCAGTTTCTGATGGTGGCTTCGATTACCGAAGTTGGCAGTGCAATAACTGGTTGCGGATCGAGGAAAATCTGATCCGAGCCTTCTGTGCTAAATCATCATGCCTCGTTACCCAAGAGAGAAGTGTAGATTGTCTCCGTTAGTTTCGATATAGACTACATATACTGCCCCTGCGTCAGTTGTGGAACCATCAATGCAGATTCGACAATGTGTAAGTCCGGACTCAGTATTGGATGAAGCCAGCACTCAGCCTCAGTGAACTCAACATTGTACAAACTCTTCAGCAAAGGCAATGGTGGTGTGGCATTGAAAATGCATTAATGTCTGAATTTCTGTCTCCTGCAATTTCCGCCGCATTCCACACTATATAAAATAAGCAGCCTTTTATTTGAAATCTAGTGGTGGATTGAAGGGTCTCCCTGCGGATGGAAATATCCGTGGTAGGTTTAGAACTGCATGCAGAGCAGCCGCAGGTGTTTAGGGAAAGCTACCGTACAACAGACACGCTATATTGCGAGTGCCAAACTGCTGTTCCAAAGAGCAAGGAGGCCTTTGTTCTTTTGCAGGAAATTCAGAAATACTTATATTGATCCCCATTTATGTCTCCATGCTGCTCCCCCAAGTTAAGATATTGTAACACACATTGAAAGATTTCACTACTCGACAAAACAATCACCAAGAATGAAATAAAATTACTCCAACGAATTTTTACCTGATTCCGAATATAATAATGGTTTCTGTGGATCAGAAATTTTTGATCAGCTCCTACCACCAAGAATAAAATAAAGCTTTTATAAGTTACTGAGATACCGGTGGATATATGAAAAATCCACAGTTGCGACACATTTCATAATAAATGTGCATCACAAAGATGTATTTTTCATCCTATCGGTTTTAAATCTGAGAGAGATTTGTTAAGGAGACTTCAACAAAAGTCTGTATGTATATGTAGTATATCTCAGTATTAAACTCAGCCCCGTTAAACTGTTTCTCAAAAATCACGGTTGGTTTTTGATTTTTGAAAATTCGAAAATATATCCAATATCTGCGCTAGTAGACTTAAAATTCTCTGTAGAGAGGCAAACCTTTTTCCATAAAAAAAGGGTTTTTTAAATTTACTGTATGTTTTTTCTATAGTGTGGGCTTTTGTTAGAGTCTCCTTTACAGATGTAAAACCAATTGGATGACAAATACAACTTTGCGATGCACATATGTGATATAATGTGTCCCATAGGGTTTTTTTCATATTTCCACCGATATCTCAGAAACTAGGTCTGACCTGGAATCAAGATAAAATTCTATGCTAGAAAATTTTCGTTTTATTCTTAGAGCTGATCAAAAATTGTTGAGTGGTCTTTTCATTTCATTTATTAGAAGCTTTCCCATGACAGAAAGCAATCGAATTTTTACTTTCATCTGCCGAGTGGCTATCGATTTAAAAAAACAAATTATTTTATTTTGGGTGCTGGGGGGAACAGACATCGATCTAGAGTCTTACCGACTGATTATACGAACCTCTATCAGCTTGTTTACTGTGTCTGTATTTCTAAAAATAAGTAAAGATATCGGAGTCATTCTCGTACATAATGAGCGCCGAGGTACATGTATGTATCCTTACTAATACTAATATTATAAATGCGAAAGTGTGTTTGTTTGTTTGTCACACTTTCTTGCTTTAACTACTCAACCGTTCATCATGAAATTTTACACGCTGGTGTCACTTAGCCTTACTTAAGGACGTGGCACTTCCCACACAAACTCAAATTTCCATACCTCATAAGTCTGGAAGAATTTTTGGTATAATACTGGAACTTGGTATGATACATATATAAAATCAATACCATACTCATGGAGAAAAATGGGAGCTATTGAAGCAGGGAGTATGGCGCTTACCACACAAACTGAATTATTCAAAATTAAATTCAATGTCAATTCAAGGAATTAGGTAATTTAAATATGTCAGCACGAATTAAAAGAGGTTTGAGAAGGTTGTCTTTTAAAATATTTTGAAGGGGGTTGCCACCTGATTTAAAAGTGGAATTATCAATCGAAATAATTTTGGAAGGCTCTTATTTCTTAATGATATTTGAGAGGGTTTGCACCTATTTAAAAAAAATTTAATAAAATTTGAATTAAGGAAATAAGGTAATTGAAATGTGTATCACAATATAGGAGTCAGACGAAAGAGGATTATGAAGGCCGTACTTTGAAGCTGTTTCCAAAAGGGTCACCACCTGTTTGAAAAGTCAAGTTCAATTAAATGATAATAAGTTATTTGATATATTAAAATATGCATGTAAAAGAAGTGTTAAAAAATTTAGTGTGAACAATTTTGAGTAAGTAGTAAGGTGTTTGAAGACGGTTTTGCAACTGTTCAAAGAGTAATATTCATGTTATTTAATGAGAAAGCGTTTTTGAATCGGAAGCTTAGATAAGACGTTCTTCAACCAAGCTCTGGAATAGGGCGTTCTTAAATAGTTTTCTGCGGTAGGGTGTTTTGGAACTGGCTGCCGAGATAGGTCGATCTTCCATTCAGGTGACGATGTGTTCAGTTTTATTGAAATAAATTACACAAAGCAAACTAGTGTTACATGCGTACATAAATTTGGAATCAAGGGCAAGAAGAATATCGTACATAACATTGCTGAGAACACTTATGGTTCCTCAAGTCTCTGCAGAATAGAACTACATGAACAAAATATATAAATTTCAGCCGACTGTAAACAAATGTTATATTTGAGATTAATAAAAATTCTCCAAGAGTCGCTTTTAAATGGAGAGTTAACTCTCCTCCGATTTTCAATACCAAAATTGGAAGATTACTGCCGAACGAGAGTAACTTAGGGATTCACAAAACTTGTTTATGTAAAATAATGGCTAAAGTGATTTTCAGGGATTTGTAACTCCATTGAAGGTTTGAAAATGATAGTGAAACTAAAATTAGCTCTTATAATGTAAAATGAATCCTCTAAAACCTTTTTTTAACGTCAGTTTACATAGGAAGCATATTAAGACTTCAAGACATTGCGATGCTTAACACGTCTTAGGAATCCGCCAAATAAATATTGTCCACTGTTTTATGCTCTTTCTCGTACAACAGTTATTATCTGTGAACTTAAAAATAAGTTTTGGGAAATTAAAAGCGTGACGATGTCCTTTAATTAGAGGTTTGCAAAAGTAGCAGAAAGTCATTCCAAAATTCACCAGGAAGCAACTTTTTAAAACGATATCCTAAGTTTATTCTTAAAGTAACGGTTATTTTTAATAAAAATTGCGAATTTTTAGTATCAATGACACTGATTTCAGGCGTTCCATGCTGGGTATTTGGTATTTTCCTACAAGATAGATAAGGATTTCAATATCCTCAACATAGATCGAGATTGTATTTATTTTTTCATCTTTATTCCTTACTGTAAAGTCGAGAAAGCATTCGTTTCCCTGTTTTACAGACACTGACATTTTTCTTGTTATAGATAACAACACAACATTATTTTGCATATAAGTACATATATATGGTATGTCCTGAAGTGCATGTTTTATAAATCGTTCTGGGAGTTTTGCACTTAAGTTATGATTACATATCATTTAGCGTTTCGCACTTGCATGAACTTTCAACCAGTTTATGTCTGTATTATGGCACATACACTCATTGCATTTAGTATCCTTTGCATTGCTCACCTTAAGTGCCATTTCAAATCAGCTTTTTTTTATATATATATATTCTAAGTTATGTAAAATTTTTGTTGAAGTATATATACCACGAATAGGTATTTATTTTATTTTTTATTCGAAATATTTTTTTTAGTAAAAAAAAAAGAGATCACTGCTTTGCTGATCGAACTGAACGTTGCCACTTTTCACCACTGAATAATGCCAAAGCTACGAAATCGCGGCGCTTTTATATACTTAGGAAGAAAGTGCCGCATGCAATAAGCCACCAACATGCAACAGCCACAGCCAACAACGACAAATCGAGCAACAACAATGCCATATTTGTGGTGGTGGTAACAACAACAATTGCAACAAAGAGAGGAAGAAAAAGAGAGGAAGGCAAAATGTATAGTGGAAGTCAGTTGGTAAAAAAAGGCGAAGACACCACAAGAGAGGACCATTGCAGTAGCAGGCTTGCATAAAAACATGAAGTGCCTATGTGAATAGAAAAACCATAAACAAAAAAACAAAGACACAACACAACTGGCAAAATATATCAGCTGGAACACACAGGCGGTACAAATAAAAAATAATAAAATTATCGCAAATGCGAAATTATGCCAAAAACGTATGGAAATTTAATTAGTGTTCATACGTACATATATACATACTTATTCATAAATAAAATACGCTTACATGCCTTTAAACGAGTATGTACATCTACTACTTGTGGTAGGTATTTAGTTTTAGTTTTTGGGTGGCTATAAAAGATGTTTTATGTACAGATAAGATCTGCTGTTGCAGCTGTGTTAATTGCTGTTGACATTAAATTTATCTATGCCAACGCGAACGTAAATTAAAATACCTTCCAATTGTTGGTGATGAAATTCCCATAAACTTGTAATTATTTAAGAGATTTTCGAAATGTAAATTGTATCATCGTGAATTATTGCAGTTGGGTATTTGTAACAGCCAAAAACAGTCAGTGCGTCAACTAAATATAAATGACTACTACAACAGAAACAAGATATTAATAATCATGTTTGGTTTATGACATGCATTTTCTCTTATCCAGTAAAACTCTGTTATAAAAAACTTACGAAAATAAAAATTTACTTTTTAATCAACCCGACTAAGATCCGTTTTCTCAAGTCCACCTTTAAGCCTGGTGTCCAGCTCTCAAGAAAAACGAAAAAAATTAGCTAAAATGGGCTCAAGGAATGGCAAAGAAATTTTCTCTAAATTGCTCTGGGGGTGCACCAATTTCCCCTACCTGGGCCACTGATAAAATGGTATATAATAATCTGTTGTCGGACGCGGATTGTTTGGATTTTTATCGGGTAAAATAAAAAAAAAAACACATTTCTTTTAATTTTTTTAAATTTTGATCATCGATAATTTTCACAATTTCAAAATAAGTAGTACTACCTAAAATTAGATTTATTTTTAAATAACCTGATAGCTCATTTATTTCAATCGCCTAAACATTGTCGAAGGTAGGCGACTTTTCTTAAATACGGCCCTGAATTTATATGTGTGTATGTACCAGATTATACGATTTTTTCAACCGGGGCGGCTAAATAGTTCTTCAATATTTATTCGAAATTGATAAATATCCGAAATACTCCTTTTTAAGAAAAACGAAGAAGAGTTGGAGTCTTTGAAATCAAAAGAAGATAAGGCACTGGAAATGCAACATAAAGCTTTGCCATTGCTTGAATTCCGGCAAAAAGTACCTGCGTGCGGTATATTCTCAATTTTTGGTTCAACGTATAACTGTGAGTCTTTGTACTCTACAATGAAATTTGTAAAGTCAAAAAACCGTTCACAATTGACTTAGCAACAGTTTCGAATGGTTTTAAACTGACGTAAAACCAGATTTTGAAAATTTGGCCAAAGGGATCGTTTGAATTTTCTTTAATATCTATGTTAAGTAGATTAGAATAATAATAAAATCATTGTTTTTCATTTCTAATAATAATTTCATTTAAAAATAAAAGTTTTGTTTTTTTGTTGTTTTTGTGGCTCTTTTCGGCCTCGGCCTTTCCCACCCCTGCAATAATCATTGTCGACCCCCTCGTCAAAAAATATTTGATTTTATTTGTTTTCGTGCGATTGGTAATACCGAATTTGCTAATTTTTTAAACGGTTAAGAATGATAATGTTTTCTTCACATTTTTTTTATTTGGTCATAACACTATTTTATAAAAATTATTAAATTTTTTTACGATTACTGATATCTCAATGGCGCGTTTTGAGCTAATATTGAAAAAAATTTGCCGTAATGCATCGAGACGAAAGTTATTAACGTTTTTCTCTTGACGCCCAATGTACGATGAAATGAGTATCGCAAGCCCGCTAGACTCGCTGTCAATCGATACTTGTTGAAAAGCTCATGCGAGATAAATATCTACGGCAGAACACACTGGTCAGGCCAGCGTTCAACAAACCACATTCTGCGTAAGAATTGAAGCATGCACCTCATCAACAGCTCGCCACCGTACTTAATTAGCTCAGAAATTCGTTATCGGTGTGTCAGCTGGAGTTTCTTGGATGGCGATGATGTAAGCCTTCGTCTTCCTAAGTACATCAACCAGCCGGACAGAGGCAACTTCCACATTAAGGTTCTGGACAGTCCAGGTTGCTGCCATCAAAACGTAGTCCTTTGTATGTTCGCCATGGTGGTCATTATAAGAAAAGGATATCATTTGAAGAAATTCTAGCAATTAGCTCTCTAGCGAACGGATTCTCGGTTTCTACCCAAAGCATTTCTCATTGCTAACACCAGAAATCTTGATATAAAATATATAAAACCAAACTGTAAAAAAGTCATAACTCTGCTATTTTTATGTATCCTCACATACATACATACTTACTTGCCCAATATACAGAAACAAAATATATGTAAGTAGTTCACCACAACGTGATAGAAACAAAAAGTGCCGTTACCAATGGACGCAATCATTATATTTTATTGGTGGTCAACTTTTTTATAGGAAATCTCAAACTTTAGCCTAATCATCGTTCCAGAAACCAATAATTTAAAGAGCAACAACAGCGGCCTGTATACCCACAAAGTATTGGTGCACTACCAACAGGTGTCATTCGCAAGTATTTGCATACAGATATACGTACAAATACATTGTCGCTGCATTTTATTCACTATTGCTTTTCGCTATCTGATTTAAAATGGATCAACAGGTGTTGACGTTGTTTGTGTTGCCGCCACTTGTGCTATTGTTGCCACAGTTACGCGTCAGCCACTTGCTATTAAGTATCGACCGAAGGTATTTAATTGTTGTTTGTTTTGTGGTTTCGCTCCGTCTTTCTAGGTGGTTAGACAGTAAAGTGAGCTTGCGAAATTCACACGGTAACCGCCAACAAGCGTACCACCTAAGTGGTTCGCTCCATTTGCCACGCGTGCCTGATTATGTGTAGGTACGCCTTCTCCCCCCTCAGCACTGTATGTTTGCCTCTGCATCTGCGCATGTGAAGGCGTATATACCTTGCAGTAAAATTTAGAGACAGTCTGACAAAGCGCTAGTTCCGAGCTACATACATATATCAGAGTTACCTCTGAACTAGTGCAAAACTGCTGCAGAGCGGGACAGTTGAAAATTGCGGTGTAAGTGTACAAATTCTTCGTAGAATACGAAAGTAGTTCAGCGAGAAGTCCTCCGACTCAAACATTAGTGGTCGCGAGCTCAATTTGCAGTGGAGGCAGTGGAGAGTTTTCAGATTTAGTGAATTTAAATTGTTGCGTGCCGTTTACAATATTTTTTTTTATTATATATGTTACAAAAGTGAAATCTGTAAAAGAAACGGAAAAACGAAATAAGTATCCAAAAATCGAATATTAAAAACGTTTTCTTATAAAAAAAATTGTTCAAAATGCAACCGATTAATAATTAGTTGCAAAGTAATGCACTGGGTGACAATTGCCACCGCCAATGACATCGCCGTGTAAAACTGGACAGTTGAAAGCATTGCTTGGGTATTGAGCTAGAACTAGTACTGTCGGCAAAAAGTCTAGTTCTACGCTAGTTTCGGGCTAGTCAGATTGTCTACAGGGTTGGTGTGCGAATGTACACTTACATATACATACTCAGATGTGAACATTACGTGCGTGCTAAATTTTTATATGAAAATATTATTTTTAAATACGAACATTTTTAAACGATAATCAAATATAAAGTTTTAATTTTTACTGTGCATTATTTCTATCAGTGTAGTTTTTGAGATACGCATATATCATATATATAAGTGGGCGGTGCCACGCCCATTTTCCAATTTTTTGTGTAAAAAAATAAATTTTTTAGCTTAAGCGCCATTGTATGTATATATCAGTTTGAAGTAAATATTGATGAGTTCTTTAGCTGCACTGCTCAAAAAATCTGAACTTTCGGTACATACACACATATAATTGCAAGGCCGTATTTTTACGTAAATTGCTAAAGTTTGACTATGTTTGTACAATTGCACCAATTTATTTAAAAATAAATATTCTTTTAGGTAAACACTACATTTTTGGCAACTTTCATAGAAATTTTTTAAATCAGCGATAGTTAAAGTTGTAAAAATTAAGAAAAACAGGGGCTTGTTAAAATTTAACCGATAAAAACTCACAACAAGCTGTGTCTAACAATATTGTTATACATAGTCTTAAAGTATATAAATTCTTTTTTCAAAACATGTTCACATTTAAACATCGGATGAAATGTAGTCAAGCTGTTAATGGATAAGTGCATCAAGTACGAACATACTGGTTGGTTTTAGATAAATAAAAAGTAAGAAAGCTTAGGTTCGGGCGGAGCCGAACATTAAATAGTCGGTAAATACAGTTTTTTCAGCTTTCCGAAAACTACCGCTACATGGTAAGCAGGGGTGGTTTTACCCCTATTTTAAACATCTTCAATAGAACGTTCAGTTGGACATAATGAGATAAACTTACATAGTGCCATTTTCCCAGTCATTAGTTAACTACTAGAGTTTTAACTATTGGTTAACTAATGGATGTACATTAGTTTACTGCAGTCAAACAGTTTGACTACTGTGATACTGTGAAATAAAAAATGGTGGTTTTACATTAGCATAGAAGTTAACTAATGACTGT